TGCGGGTGTGGGAGGCGGCTACAGGGTCGTGCCGCAGCGTGCTCGAGGGCCATACCTCCTACGTCAACGCCGTCGCCTTCTCGCCAGACGGCCAGTATATCCAAACAAATCGCGGTGATATTTGCTTGCATGTTCCTACTACGCCACCGCCCTCGTCCCAAAGAGCGCAGCCGTCTTATGTCTTTGTACAAGACCAGTGGATTTCTTTGAACCAACAGCGGTTGCTATGGCTTCCTTCTGAATATCGACCGACTTGCGCTATAGTTAACAGAAACGTAGTCTTTTTAGGGCATTCTTTAGGTTGTACTACGTTCCTTGAATTTTGTATATAGGCCTTGTACACACTCTCTTTATCTTATTATATATTTCTTTTCTAATCTCTATTTTATAGAAAGGGCCGGGGAGCAGCAAGTATTTATCTTTTAAGAGGGATATCTAGAATCTTCTATACTTATTAATATAACTTCTCTAACTATAAATATAGCGATAGAAAATATATAAGATATATATAGCAATACACAGAGCCTAGCAGCTAAAAATAGTCGATATATAACTATTTATAGACGTATCTAGAAGAGTGCTATATACTTACTTATAGGTACGGCACTAAATATAATATAAATCGCTTATTATCTAGCGTATTATTATATAAACACGCTAATTCCTTATACTAAGATATTTTTAAGGCTACCTTGCACGGATAAATTCGGAGCGCATATTCCTAATAGCTAAGCTTCTTTAAATTATAGAACTATCTTCTTTTATAATAGAACTATTATTTACGTACTCCGAAATTTAAAAAGGTGTTAAAAGCTGTCGTGTAGTAAGGGTGTAAACCTAAAATCGATCTAGATGTTATAAACGGAACGATTAATAGTATAACTAAAACTATTATATTTTTCGTACTGTAGACTAGTTCCTAGAAGGAAAGTATTCTAAGAAAAATAATACACTAACTATAGCTTAATAAAGTCGCGAGGAAAAAAGTTAAAATGCTTAAATAATAGGTTTATCTTAGCGTAGGGTGTTTCTCGACCCGCAGTAAGGGATATTATATAGCTAACTTAATATCCGTCTATACGTGGCGCAATAACCCCTATACTATAATAAAATTTATTATTTCGTGTTTTAATTTCTACCTTATAACTCTATTAACTTATAATTAGCGTAATATTATTCTTTAGGTATTTCTTCCTATAAAATAAGCGTGCAGCTAAAAATTACACACTTCTAATCTTACTATCGATTATTACTTTTAGAGTATCTAGAGTAGCTACAGCTTTACACCTCTGCTATAATCTAACCTTCTATAGAATTTTAAAATTCGGAGTATTTTATTTATATTTCTTTAGTAAAAGAAAATATTTTAAAGTTATAAAGGCACTAGGCCCTTTATAGAATATATTCTGGATTTATCCGTATAAAGGGGTCCGTAAGCAGAAGTTTTAGCGCGGGATTAGATCTAGCTAGCTATAATATACTATACTGCTATACCTATTCTATTTAATATAGTATTTTTTCTAGAAATATCTTTAAATAATTATATGCTAGCTATTTTAGGATAGCGTTTATTATTGCTACCTGTCCGTTTACTACCTGTCTATTATACCCTATTTATACCCTAATTTATACCTCTAATATAATAATATAGACTAAGCTAGCTAGGTACTAGCGCAAGGTCTTCCTCTAGATATACCTAGATTATATACTATTCTATTAGAATATACAGGTAGTAATATCCCTTAGAATACGCTCTATTATTGCGCTTACGGATAACCCTTAAAATAGGAGAAGGCCTAACGCCAGCAATACCTTACTATAGAGGAAGAGAAAGCTCTTATTACTTATTTACTACTAATATCTAGTCTTAGGCATCCTATTCGAATTAAGTATATACCTAGGTTAGCCCTTATCCTCGCCTGCTAGCGTTTTATAACAATTAAGCCCCTAAATAAGAACTAGCCTTAAGCTTTTAAAAAACGCTATTCTAAACTTAAAGTAAGGAGAGTTAGGTTAATAGACTGGAAACGTTATAAGAATAATATATACTTTAAGATTATATACTAGTTTAAGGTAGTTATAAGGGTATTATAAAACTTAGCTACTAGAACTATCCTGCTAGATAATATCTATAATATAGATAAAACTAGGGTTATATTAAGTATACTTAGCTCTGTTAAAGTCCTTATAGGTAAGGCCCGGGTGTTAAGCGGATAATAGTAACTAATTTTAGGAAAGGATAACTTATAAAACTATAGAGGCGCAGGTGTTAAATAGATAATAGTAACTACTATTAAGTATATTAGTGCTAGCAGTAGGTCGCTGCTCCCTTTTATAATCTAGCTAGCTTTAACCTACTAAAGCAACTAGACCACGTACTTAACCCCTAGATAGTATTACGTATACTCTAAAAACGGATATAACAACTCTAAAATTAGCTTAGAGTGGCTTACGCGTGTATTTAACCCCTAAACTAAAAAGCTGGCTAACTAAAAACTACGGGTATTAATATGCGATAGCTTTAGAATATATAAGATACTTAAAATATTAGAGTTCTGCTTTAAAAATAATATTATCCTTTATTATCTCCCTTTTTATACCTCTTACAAGCTATAACCCTATAATATTAAAGTATTTGCGCCTTTAAAAACAGCCTATTGCGATAAGGTTAAATAACTAAATTAAGGCGGAGTAGATATAGTTCGTAATAAGCATTTCACCTCTCTATATAAGCCCGTAAGGGAAAAAGCATTTACTAAAAGGAATATTAGGGCTATATAGGCTGTATATAGCTTATTTCTATTTAATCTAAATAGAGTACTCTAGTATATACTAAAGCCCGCTACTATATATCCTTTTTTAAATAATAAGGTTATAGGCCCTAGTTCTTAAGGCAAAGCACTGCTATTAACGCTAGTAACTCTAGTAATAATAGAAGCTATTATATTATTATATAACCTAATTAAAAATAAGCTTAATAAGCTAAGTAAATAGCTATGCGTATAGAGGCACGTATAGAAGCTTATAAGTGCTGTAAAGAGATTATTTACCGAAAATACCCTACTTTAAAATTAGAATTAATTTTTATTTACGGCAAATAATAAAGCTAAAGTTTGCTAATTAACTAGAGCTGTAGTCCTAGGGATAGCGAAGGTAATAAGCTATAAGAATCTCGAGGAGGCGAGAATAAAGCGTGCTTTAATAGATAAAGCCACCGCGAGTAAAGGGAAATAACAACGCGGTTATCCGTGCAAGGCTCTAGAGGAAAAGGAAAAGGAAAAGCTAAAGGCAGAAGATAGTAAAAAAGAGCGCAGTTATAAACGCAAGAGTTTTACACTAAAGGTAGAAATAGAGGCGGGTATACTAGAAGCAGGTTTATTAGTACTAGAAGCAGGTATATTAGTTTTAGAAGTAGAGAAGGGCTTATTAGTACTAGAAGCGGGCTTATTAGTGCTAGAAGTGGGCTTATCGGCACTATATATTTATTTAAGTAAGGGCCTAGGACCGCTATAGAAGGCCCTAATAGCGAGAATATACTAAGGTAATACTATTTTATTAATATTATACTAAGAGTTGCGTATAGAAAAAAAAGGTTAAAAATTAAATACTATAAGCAGTGCTGCTGTCTTAAGTTAGCTCTATCGTCCGCATAATTAGGTTATAACTTAACTAACGTCCGTTCCTACGTGTCGGAACGCACAGTATAACAGGATACCTTTTCTTCCGGCTACTCGGATTGTCCCCAGCGCGCTTATATATAGATATGCGCAGTGCGTTTCCATTCTATAGTTAACGCTCTCCTAAAATATTAGCCTCTAACCCTAAAAAGCGCGTTATTAACTATACTATTGCTCGTTCCGTTAATACTATACATCGACCCTTCTATAATATCCCCCTGTTTATTCGCAACGGCTTATATTTATAGAAAGCTTAGTAAGTTATAAAGGAAGCTAAAATAGCAAAGATTAAAACTATATACTTTAAGGGTTAACTTAAGTTAAAAAGTGTATATTCTGGCAGTTTCTCCGTATAAATAGTAAGGTTGTTAATAAACCCGTCTAATCGGCTGTGTGTTTTAAGCGATATTTAACTTAGCGGTAGTAGCGTGCTAAGATATCTGCGAGTCGCACTGCGCGCTGTAGCTAGAGAACTGCGGCTCCTAATTAATTACCTGGCCTTTAACAGTTCTTATCCCCTATTTACAGGCAGCTAGTTTTCTAGACCTGCACCCGACAGGCGCTTAACTTTAGGGTTATATAACTATCCAGCGATGTAAGTAACTTTTTATTAAACGGCTGTAAAGCGTAATATAGCCCTCTTCTTTACATCTATATAATATATATCCTTTAATCGAGTGTTATAAAACGCTAAAATAGCGATCTATACTGTTCTGCTCTGCTTACTAGCACTTCTGCCAACGTATACACTAATATAATATAACTTTTCGGAGTAAGCACGGCCCTAGGATAGATCGCGAGGCAGGCAGATTGCGAGGCAGGCAGAGCGCTTAACGTGGCCAGCGCCCGCTTAGCCTGGTCGTATATACTGCCTTAATAGGCTGCCTTTATAATAAACTAGTATAAGCCTACTCTACCTACTTTAATCCGTTGCAACTATATTATTCTTTTTTTAATACTATAAAACTTATTCACGTATTACCTCCCCTTAATTAAGCCCGCACTGTAAACGCTATACGTTTTCTCTACTTTAACTTGCTAGGGACGCTTGTTTCGACAGACTTCCACGGCAAGATAATCCCGCCCTATACTATTCTATCGCATAGATAGAGCAACACCGAAATTTTACTTAAAGATATAGCAAGAGAAGTCTATAAGGACAAGTAGGAAGGCTATTAAAAGCTTTAGTTCTGCGCTAAACAAGTAGTCTAAGACGGGCTATAGTACTTCTAGATCGATATATACTATATTAATAGATAGGATCTTCGCGAGCGCTTAAGGGCGATTAACTTAATGTTTTAGTAGTATAAAAACGCGAAATAATGCTACGTCTTTCTGTCGGATATTGCGCTATCCGCTGTAACGGATACGCCCCAGCGTAGCAACTAGGAAGCGTTATTCCGTGTAAGCGCATGGTTTACTCGAGGATAGACGCTCTAAAAGCTAATCGCGCTAGTATTAGTCGAGTTCTTCTTGTGCAAAGAACGGCGCATAGGTAATAAAATATCGCTCGACTAGCTTATACACAATATTACTAATATTCCGCTCGCAGTACTGCGCAACT